TAATTTCATGTTATTAAGTATCCCCCATAAGTAATATCATTTCATATTGTCACGTATCCTCTGGTAGGATCTGAAGATGGCACTTTTCGCTGTGTGTTGTGAATATTGGTAACACTTTTCACTCCGCTTGATGAATATTGGTAACACTTTTAACTCCGCTTGGTGAATATTAGGAAATGTCTATAAATCTCTTTATGCCGTGATTTCTGCCAATGGAGTCCTGATTGACTGTATCTAAATGAATATTAATTACTAAGTGGCAATGCGAGTGTTTGCTATGCAAGAATACCAATATCAACGACTATATATTCTCTTTTGGGGAATGTAAGGATGAGGGTATGGGAGTTGGTTTGTGCAGGGACTGCAAATAATGTTCTAACCTGTGGACCAAGGTTCGAATATCAGTAGAGAATGAATTACAAATTATCTAACCTCTATAATGATAACCATTCTCAGTATATAATTTCACTTTATCACCTGAAACCTCCTTGATGATGTAGGGATTAGGCCTTCTACTCACTCAAGTGTATGTCTGTCTGTCTGTCTGTGCATATGTGTGCGTGCGTGCATGTATGTTTGTATATGAATCTGTACTTAGTGTCTGACATTTTCCACTTAACGGCTTATTTTTTATCCGATCAAGAGAATCCTTGTAATTTTGTAGCTTAGATGTACTTTCCCGACTTTTCTGACTTTGAAATTTCAGCTAGCATTTCTTGCCTCGTTTTTTGCGCAATGCCGCAACTCACTGTGAAGTGAATGATTTTCCACTCACATACGCTTTCTCTTTCCAGTGTGTAGCCAAATGTAGGAGGGGTCTTTTGAACACTAAAAAAGCCTTTCTACATTCAGATGGATCAGTTCTTGCTGTTGCCGTAAGCTTTGAATGCGGAATAACTTTCCATGAAGCTTGCGTACTTTTGTGTAAATTACCGAACAAAGCTAAATGATAAAGTAAATATTAGCTAACTACGAGGCAGATAAAAAAATGCTTAAAAATTAGACACGTCAAAAAATGTTTCCTGTGAAGACAAGACGAAATACAGGATAAGATAACACAAATTATATCTGTGCTGTTTTGTTGTATTTTCTTTCTTTTATTCACTCATAGAATATAGTTTTCGTCATATTCATTTTTTTGGCGTCACGATATGATTTCAGTATCAGGAAAAATTCACATCTGTTTTAGATATCTTCAGTTTTTGTACAAGAAAACCATTGATTTTGAAGCACCTTACCAATCAATTAACTCTTAATCCGTCTAACACAATATAGGTTTCCTATCTATACAGCCAGGTAATTTTGCTGGTTTGTTATTAGGCAATGTACTTGACATCGCTTGAAGGTAATAAAACCTTGTTGTGTTGATGTACAGTACACACAAAACTACAACTAAACCATGGTATGCCAATGTATCTACATGTATTATATTTGATAACCATAACTAATAACAAACCTAGCAATATGTAGCTTGATTTGCAAAAGGATGTCAATTCAAACAATTCTAGACCATATACTTACTCTCTCTCTCTCTCTCTCTCTCTCTCTCTCTCTCTCTCTCTCTCTCTCTCTCTCTCTCTCTCTCTCTCTCTCTCTCTCTCTCTCTCTCTCTCTCTCTCTCTCTCTCTCTCTCTCTCTCTCTCTCTCTCATGCACGTCAGTAAATTGAATAGATTTAGAAAGCATACAATTACATAATCTCATTTTACATACATTATACCAAATTGTTAAAATTAGGGGAAATGATTCAAATCAAAAATTGATTCCTGTCGTAATGACTAGACCCTCGTCCCGAAAATGAAATTGAACCCTCAATAACTTGAAACAAAGTGATTTGAACGAAACCACAAGACTGGCTATGGAGGAAAGGCGATTTTAAGGGCTTACGTGGTTTTAAGTGTCGAAGTGTTTTTTTCAGGGCTGCTATATATGTTTTAGTCATTGGTGGTTTAGTAGCTTGGATTTCGGGGTGGGAAGGATCGTTGTGCCTACCTCTTTCCACGATGAATTTATCCCTAATTTATATAAGCTCAAATACCCTGTGAATCGATGCCTTTTATATTATTAGGGTGTTAACCTGGTGCCTTGTAATATTGGGATGACATCCGCTTCCACAATTTGGTTAGGATCCAACAGTAACAAAAAATGGATGTGATTTAATTACTTAGGACTATGATCCGGCTTTGCTCAAGCTGGTTTTCTGTTGTTTTCTTTTGATATATTTGACTTCCTGGACAAAATATATTTACCATGTACATCATCAGACAAAAATACTTCGATGTCACCGATAATTTAAACAAGATTATATACATGACCATATGTATTATTATTTTGATTGATAAAAACAAGCTAATGATTTCAAATTAGAGATAGAACCAAGACGACATAAAAGAAATGTTGAAACTAATCGATAATTTCATCACTCTCTAAAGACCTGTCAGAATTAGTTGTCGATCGATTGGTAATCAAATCATTTGCGTGGACAGATTATTTTAAGTAGCAAGGTACTTGTTAAAACATCACGTTGCCAGTCTAAATGCAAGTAAAAAAAAATTTGAATGAACTTTGGGATGTACTTCGACAGCAAATGCAAAAGACGACTACAGAAAAGAAGCGTTGCTTTCACATTTCTTTATCTCCATAACTCCTCTATAATTCATATCCTCGTCATAGTGCAACCAATAATGTGTTAAAAGTTGCCATAAAATTCACCACAATTTTAATATTTAAGTAAAAGTTATTTGGATATAATGCAGTTAAAACGTTTCTTTCACAATAAATAATATTCATATCTGACATTAAAATGGTACAGTACAGTGTATTTGTACGAGGAATGTAACGATAATTCTGGTAATAATGGCATAATTGTTAGCTTATTGCGTATTTGACAAAGTGCAAATAGATTTGTTTTGTTCATGATGGTTTTTTTTTCAGAAATATTTTTAGAGGGTTTATGCTTTGGAGACATTACATCGCCTATTTTGTACTGTATATAATATTGTTCAGTATATGAATGACAATAAAGCTTTATGTGAGGAGATAAGGTCACAGCATGCATGTTTGTTATTTTCGGCATTGATATCATTAGATTCGTATGTTAGTGTAGCGAAAATCATATGAAAATATTCATTGACACGCAGTTACAGAGGTAAACGTAACAGATGAGGATGGGAAATTTCGCAAACATTTCCATAGTTCAATGCTAATAAGTGTCTTTCTGTTCTGAACTCTACCTAAAACCGTTACAATGCTTCATTTAAGATTTTTTAATTTGTACTAAAGTGTGTTTTTGTCCCTCTAATCAGAACTTAGTCAGCCAAAAAATAAGTTTTCTTCACGTTCCTAAATGGTTAGAGTAGGAACAAAGATGACGATCTCCAATCCGCATTTTACTTAGTGCTTCTTGCTTCAACAATTCTACGTTGACTGGAACAATGAAGTCACACGACTACAGACCATACTATTTTAGGCTGACTTGATCGATAAACAAAGTTGGGTTGCAAAACTCCTTAAAGAAACATCTGTTCTTTCTATTATAAAATAAGAAACAAATATTTAAACCAGATAAAAAATAGACATTTTCTAAATTTCCCCATTTGAAATGTATAACCAGATTTACAAATCGGAAGGTTATTGTCTTTAGTTGTTGTATGTTACTGCATTCTTAACTTCGTGCATCACCTTTTGATTCACCAGCCATTCAGCAATTTGTATGCAATGTTTGATTGCGTTCGAAAGAGTATTTTTTATAATAAAAAATTAATTTGATAAAATCACTCGTCACCAGTCGATCGATAGCCTTTTCAAAATGGTTAGAACAAGGACCGACGTAGTGTATGACTGGTAAAGTCAGGAAATCGTTCGATGAATTGCTAACTGGACTGCATTGTATGATCTATATCGTTGATTTGCTAATGAATGGCGTAAGTAAGAAATATTATTCACATTATATCTGGGCTATACCTTTATAGCATTTTACGAATCCGTTTGCCTTGAGTTTTATAGAGGCATTAATTGATTTTATAATAAAGTACAGTTTGGCCTGAATCCTCAACCGAGTAGTAATACCAGGTATTAACATAAATAATCAGTTAAATAGTGAGACTGGATATTAACATCGACTTACTTTGCACATCTAATGTGTATACACATGCTAAATAATGTATGAGATGAAATGGTATTGTTGCCATCCAAAGACTGATATAAAGCTGAACGGATGATGGTTTTTGTTTTCTTTTGTTACGATTGGTGAGTGTACAGTTTATAGCATCCTCTGAATTTAAGCCCTGTCACCTGGTTCAATTCAGTAATACGTTGTTACGTGGAAAAAAACCCCAAACAACACTACCTTATTCAGAAAGTTACAATTGAGTATAGATATAGTCAGGGTCTTTGGAAAGAATTGTTGCAGCCTATTCATCACCTGGTGTAATTCCATTTTACGAAGTCAGTATTTACTGTAGTATTTGTTACCAAACTAAGTGCATATGATGACTTACCTCTCATTGTAATATACTCTGCTATTGATTTTCATCACCATATCAACTGACTTTTCAAATCCGAAACTTATTTCACAAATCTTAATGAACTATTTTCTTTATATCTTTGTTCACCTAAATGTAAATTGTTATAATTGGTCACGTTGAAGAAAATATTCCATACGCCTTAATAACAAGAAATACAATATAGTTTAGTTCAATATTTGGTAGGAAAGAATATTTTGGATTAAACAGTGCTTTGAGTTTCTTTAGTAAGTCTCCGTCTGGCTTTAACTTGCAAGTGATGGAATTTAAATTAAAACATTAGAATGAAATGAAGTATTCGAAAATTTGAGAGAGAGAGAGAGAGAGAGAGAGAGAGAGAGAGAGAGAGAGAGAGAGAGAGAGAGAGAGAGAGAGAGAGAGAGAGAGAGAGAGAGAGAGAGAGAGAGAGAGAGAGAGAGAGAGAGAGAGAGAGAGAGAGAGCTGTTGGTATCATTTTCATAAGTCTTTGGTATGAGTATGACTCGGCCAGGGTTCGAAACAGCGACTTCCGCATCGGAGGCGGACGCTCTAAAAACTAAGCCACCAAACTGGTACAGAAGAAAGAAAGAGAAAGAAAAGAATGTTAGCTGCAAATGCAGATACAAAACAATAAATTGACATAGAAATGTTATTAAATTAAAAGAATTAAAGCCTGTTAGCATAAAGCACCCCACTCATGAACGTTCAGATTTTGATGCTACGAGGAATATTATATTAGTAGCCCTTTTAAAGAAAAATCATGTCGATCAACATTTTTTACATTTCGAAAAAATAATCGAGAATTTAAAATTGCTAAGAGGGTGCAGGACGCTGTTACTACATAGAACTTATTGGCAAGGCCAGTGAATTGAATACTTCGCTGTCAGTAAAAACAAGTGCTGATTATAAATTAGTCAACGAATATATATTAAATGGTTATAAGTTGGTACATACAAAATATTGTCAGAGGTTTATGAATTTCATAAAAAATAAAAATGTATCCAAACCTATGAAGAGTTTTCTAGGGAAAATAAAAATAAAATTTCACACGTGGTGTGCGTCCAAAATGATTGATAAAGATTATGACAAACATAAACAAATTATATTACTTGAGGGGTTTAAGAAATTCGTAAATGGTGACGATAAGATCTACTTTGATGACCAACATGTAGTAAACGATGCTCGTGCGACTGACGACTATTCCTTGACTAAATAAGTTTTATTGCCAACAAGTGTTCTTTTCAGCAGATGGTTAGCAAGAAAACATCTCAGTCTTAAGCGAGTACTGACAATTTTCAATCTGGCACAACTAATAACAATCAAACGTCTGATAAGATTGATGGGAAATCCTTATTTCTTCCTATGTGAACTTATTGCAATAAAATTGGCCACGTTATTTCTGATTGCTTTGTGTAAACATTGACATAATAAAGACAGAGCTGTTTCAAATGTTCTTGCTTCTCAGTGGTCATGATCACAGTCATGTATTAGAACCAATATATTTGTTGGGTCAGATAAATCTTGATCACATTTGATTATGGAGAATATGAATCATTCTCATCGAAAGGTTATATATCGCTTATTGGCGATTCGGCTAAACCTGTCCCTAATAAATTATTAAAGGGCACAGTAACTTCTCAAAATCTTATATTATCAGATACATTGACTTTTTCTGAGAAGTCGTCTTCTTCTGAAAGTGTTCTTGTTTTTACAGAGTGAAGCTTTATTAAACTTCTACACCATTATTTTATTTTAACGTCATATTTAGTTTCAGGACGATTTACTATTGGGCTGTGATTCTTTGCCCGTTGAGGTTGTTCATTTGTTGTTAGACAATGACTTAGCTGGAGATAAGGTTATGGTTAATCCATTTGTAAATGATATGTCTTGTTTGGATCCAAAGGATGAATCTACTGAAAATGAAATCCCTGCTTTATACCCTGCTTGTGCAGTTACTAAAGCCATGGCAATAAAGAGCTCGTGAGAATGAAGTTAATCAAGATATTCTTTTAGTTGACAAATAGATTGGTCAGTCTTTTGAAGAAAAACATTTGGCCCTGTTACTGATCAATCTAAATGTACTGATAGTGATGATGATAATAATAATAATAATAATAATAATAATAATAATAATAATAATAATAATAATAATAATAATAATAATAATAATAATAATAGCGAGGACTTTATATAGCGCCTAATTTTTAGAAACTCTTAGCGCTTTGCAACATTTGACAACGCTTAAAAAGAATGATAAGCATATATAATGAAATGATTACAAAAATAAAAACAAACACTACAAAACTAATTAGAAACAGAAAACATGATGTAAACTTTTAAGGTAAAGGTACGTTATAAATTATACATTATTAGGTCTTTATGACTGTTCTTTCAGTTGAAATAGATGAGTTTTAAGAGCGCTCTTGAATGAGATTACTGTGTCTTTGTGTCTAAGTGCAGCCATTCCATGCTGCTGGGCCCTGGTATGCAAAAGAACGATGTCCATATGATTTCAACTTCATACTGATCATTGTGATCCTCATTTTCTCATTTCTAATCAGGGTAACAAAGGATATTTATTGTCACCTAACAGGAACAAGATTCTGCGGAATCCTATTTATTTCAGAAGACTATTTACAAAGTTTAATCTGCAAAGGTACCATCTTGATATTTGTTTTTTTAAAAAATGGGGTCCTAATGAGAAAATGGAGACCGACTGAGGTACGCGCTGGTGGCTAGTGGTCAGAAAGCTATAAAATTGTTGTTCTTAAGTTGCATAGACAGGATATTGTTACCGTAGCCCATGAAACTCGTTTGGCTGGTCATTTAGGAGTCAATACGTCTTACTACTCGATCTTACATCACTTTTATTAGACGAAAATAAAAGTGATGCTTTTAAACTTTTCAATCTTGTTTTATTTATCAATTAGCTAGTTTTAGTTCTTTTGAACTACTGTTTGGACACGTTGGCCATGAGCCAAAGAAATGATTATTGAAAAACTCCTTTAACATAAAATTTCGACATTAATCTTGTAGACTTTTTTTCATTGTGAAATAACAAGATATAATCTTCTTTCTACTCACTCAAAAATACATTTAAGTCATGTCAAACGTACAAAGGTAGGAACGTTTCAAATTTGTCACAATGTTCTCTTTCTCTTGCTAATGATTGATATTATAGCCTCGTAAAGTTAAGAAAGAAAAATGATATACATTGTACCAACACTCCTGTGAGGCAGAAACAGGAATAGCTTCATCACCAGTCGTATAAAGATGCGTCAGGTATATATTGATCTAAATGTCTCTGTAAATCATTCAGTTAATTTAGTTGTACATGTCCCACACAGCTACAATATAAATAATGGCGTAGACGAGGAGGATTGTAGTGACTTCAGACGGTCGAAATAAATTCTGAAATATTGAAGAATCTGGATAATAAAATGTCGCATCTACAGCCACAGGAAAAGAATGAGTTAAAGCAGCCAATATTTGAATATAAACACTTGTTCCAACTAGAAAAAAAATGTTGAAATTATAGGTTCGAAACCTGTAAAACATTACCCCCACCCCTGCAGGACGATTCCTTTCAAGTTGAAATGTTAATAAGAGGAAATTGAACATTTTTGGGATAATACCTTTAGTAAAGCAATGCAAAAGTTACGAAACCAGATAATTTTTTTTCTGCATCTGTACTGACTACAGAAAATTGAACACTATCAACAAAACAGATTAATTTCCTATACCAAGAATTGATGAATGTATTGACAGAATTGGAGATGCAGAATATTACACCAGGTATATCCTCTTACATGAATCATGGCAGTTTCCACTTACGGATAGAGCAAAAGAAACTTCGGCATTCGCGACTCCAGATGGACTCTACCAATACAAAATGATGCCATTTGGTATAAAACATGATAACGTATTATAGATGGCTGTGACGCGTACAACGACTATGTTATTTATTTACAGCGATTCCTGGCAAGATCACCTGGAAACAATCCGGAATTGTTTTGTCCGACTGAGTGAGGTTGAACCAATTACCAATTTAATGTGTAAGAAGACCAAATTTTATTGGTCTGACGAATGTTAGGTACGTTAAGACCACACACAAAGTGCACCAGTTCTTTCAGCTCCACATTTCAGTCAATTATTTAAAATGCATGTTGATGCAAGTGATGTAGGGGTTGGTGGTGTATTAAATCAGGAAGATAAAATTGGCGTGGGTCATCCAATGTGATATTACTCTAAATAACTAAGTAAGCGCACATACATACATACATACATACATACATACATACATACATACATACATACATACATACATACATACATACATACATACATACATACATACATACATACATACATACATACATACATACATACATACATACATACATACATACATACATACATACATACATACATACATACATACATACATACATACATACATATATACATACATACATACATACATACATACATACATGCATACATACATACATACATACTTACATGCATGCATGCATGCATGAATGCATGCATACATACATACATACATACATACATACATACATACATACATACATACATACATACATACATACATACATACATACATACATACATACATACATACATACATACATACATACATAAATACATGCATGCATGCATGCATGCATGCATACATACATACATACATACATACATACATACATACATACATACATACATACATACATACATACATACATACATACATACATACATACATACATACATACATGCATGCATGAATACATACATACATACATACATACATACATACATACATACATACATACATACATACATACATACATACATACATACATACATACATACATACTTACATACATACATACATACATACATACATACATACATACATACATACATACATACATACATACATACATACATACATACATACATACATACATACATACATACATACATACATACATACATACATACATACATACATACATACATACGAACATAATCCGCATCTAATTAACAGTAATTAATAAAGATAATAATCATATGTTTGATTTTCAACATAAATTACATTTATCAATATAATGTCTAACAGTGGGTTTTAAATGAGGAAAGGGATGTAGACTTACTGACATCTAAAGATAAAGACTAACACAACGTAAGCACAGATCAGGAGCATGGAATGGCTGTAGACACAGATCAGTAGTACGAACTGAAGATTTTTCTAAGTCTAGGTAAAGTGTACAAACCATGTCTTCTTTATTTAAACTCTTATACCACTGATCAATAAGTATGATTATACCTGTTTGGCCTGAATCTGAATTAAGCAACGTGAATTAGACTATATTTATGTAAAGAAGTAAGTGCTTTTTAATGCGTTTTCCAGATTTCAGATTCAGTCGGAGATATAGATAAAGTTGGATAATAAATTTGTTTCGAGCTAGAACTAACGTTAGAAATGCTAAAAAAAGTTTTCTTATTTGCAATCCTCAAGAAGTGCACTGATAAAGAGGCTTTTGTTGA